GAGGCAGGTGGATCTTTGTAAGTTCGAGGCCAGCCTGGTCTACATAGTGAGTTTCAGGACAGCTGGGGCTACAGAGAGACCCTGTCTCAAAAAGACAAAAAAAAAAAAAAAAAAAAACCAACCAAACAAACAAAAAAACCCAAAAAAACCCACCAAACCCCAAAATCACAGTATATGATTCAATTTATACAAAGTTCAAAAACAGGCACATGTGGGTGATAAAACCATAAAGAAAAACAAAGGAATGACTTAATACAAACTTCAAGATGGCAGTTCCCCTTCCAGTGGAGAGAGTGACTGGGGAAGGGCCTAGACAGGGTCTCTTAACCTTTTGCTGTTTGAAGCTAAGTGGTGGGCACAGGGAGGCTTACATTTTATTACCCTTTACACTGTACTTATATGCATTATGTTTTTTCTTTCTATTTTTTTGTTTTGTTTTGTTTGAGAAAAGAGCTCACTCTGTAGTCTTGGCTGGCCTGGAATTGGTTTCATAGACCAGGCTGGCCTCGAACTCAAAGAAATCCACCTGTCTTGAGTACTGGGAGTAGTGTGCACCACCACATTTGGCTTTTCTGCTTTTAAAACACTGCTGGGAATGGAACTCAGGGCTTTGCACGTGCTAGGCGAGTACTCTACCGCTGAGCTACAATCTCAGCCCCAATTCTATTGTATATATCATTCACAAGCAAGGTGTATTTAAAAAATTAGTGAATGGGGCATTGAGGAGATTTCACTTTGTGATAGTAGGAGTCAAAGACACCAGCCTGGTCTATAAAATGAGCTTCAGGCCAAGACTACAGAGTGAGACCTTTTCTCAAACAAAACAAAATACAGAAAAAACAATGTATAGGTACAGTGTAAAGGATAATTATATATATACATGAACATGTTCCTGCTGACAGGAGTGAGATAATGGAGAAGGGGAACTGATGTTTGGGGGGGCATGGAGAGTAACTGTTAGAGACAAAAACTGGAGAGGGATTGGAGCGTGCTAAGTAACAGATGGGCATTTGACAGAATATAGATGTTTATTAACACTGTTAACAAACAGTGTCTCTGGGTACAAATTCAGTCAGTTTGTAGACTGGGAGATGAGAGCCATTTAACTGTCTAAACTGTCTTTTTATTGAGGCAATAAATGGGGTTCTCAATGGAGACTTATGTGGGGACCATGTTGGAGTCTTGAGAGAGGAGGAGGTATGGAGGGATTTTCAGAAGCAGAGAAGGCCAACTTCCAAGGGACTGGGAGACAATGGTACCGTTGTGAGTGTCCACTGGTTTGTGGACAAGAACATAAAATCAAGCTAAGTCATCAAGCTATGATTTTTCTCCAGCCTCAGACACAGGTCTGGGTCCCCAACAGGGCTGGGCTGCCAGGCAATTTTAATGGAGGAAGGGACATTTAAGTGGCAGAGACTCCTGAGGAGGAAATGGCTTAGTTGTTGACCAGGGGGTTTAATGTGAGTGAGAAGAAAAATGAAGGTGAGGTTAGGGAGGTGATTGGTAAAATGAGTGCTAGATTTAATGGCTTTGGGATCTTGTTACAGTGCAGGAGACTAGGGTAAGCCTAAAGTTAATGGTCAGAAATGCTTGGAACAAAGATTCCATAAGTGGTTCAGAACATTCCTAGTGGCAAGTCTAAGGTTTCAATGCAGGGCTGGAGAGAGGAGACTGGGACACTGACAATGGATGAAGCCTTCCTTGAGGCGAAATCCGTATGGGGGGGGTAGGGGGATAGCTAGCGACATAATGATTGAGGGAGTAGAATGCTAACTAGGGGACAGGTGTGAGGATGACAGACATCTATCTCATCATGTGCAGGACTGTCTAGTCCCAAGAACTGCAATGCACCACAGCAAGTGGCAGTAGTTCCAGCTGAAAAATGAAGGAAGGCTCAAAGGTGGAAAGCGCCATCTGTGTGAATGTGCTTACTGGGAGGGAAAGGAAGGGCTGGAGGAGTTAGGAAGGGTGCAAGGCAAGCTGGCAACTGGCAAGTCGGCCACTGAAGCATTGTGGCCTGCACATATTGGGAGTTCCAGAGGGGATGGTAAGGATGAACTGCTGGCAGACAGTCCTTGGGGATGAGGGTCTGAGCTTGGGCCTTAAGTGATGACTGGAGTAAACAGAGATGGGTGTGGTCCTAGCATTTCTCAAGGCAAGTGACTCAGATGCAGCAGCCCCAAAGCCTTAGCCTTAGTATGGACCAGAGGCTTCCAGGGAAAATACTCCATTACCTGCTCTAGTTTATGTTTTATTTTGTGCTTCTTGGATAATTTATATGGGTTGAATCAAACCCAGTAAAAATATAAAAAATCCTGCCCCCATCTCTACTGAATTTTGGAGAACTAACGACTAAGTCCTTTGGAGGTTCACCTGGCCCAGCTGCCTGAATTCTAATTTCTATGGGCAAAGTGGACTTGATCATACAGAATCAAGCCTTAGGGATAGAGCAGTGCTTCTCAGACATTAACACACAAATCCACTATGATCTTGCAGTAATACTGGTTCTGATCCAGTAGGTTTGGGTGGGCCCAAGTGTCTATTTAATTTTTATTTGTATGCATGTATTGCCTGCTTATAAGTGTACCTATGTTGTGCAATGTCCACAGACAGAAGAGGGTGTCACACTCCCTGGAACTGGAGCTATGGAGAGTTGTTAGCCACCACGTGGGTGCTGGGATTTGAACCCAGGTCTTCTGCAGAACAGCCAATGCTCTTAACCACTGAGCCATCTCTCCAACCCCAAGTGTCTCTATTTCAAGAAAGCAATATTCCTGAATGGCTAGGCTTAAATATGGGCATTTCCTACAGTATCTGTGGGGTTTTAGGCTACTAACTTCTCAACTCTCTGTATAGCAGGAGTATCAGAGGATGCTGTAATAAGCAAAATGGGTGTAAGGTAGCTAGCACCACCCCAAGCATACGGCAGGGGTACAATAAAAGGATTTTGTCTTCACTCTTTCTTAGGTGGTAATACTTTATATTTGTGGGGGCAATGCAAGGGTACTTCTGTGGCCCCTGCTCAAAGATGCTAGGAGGAAGGCATGAGTTCTCTATCTTTGAGGAGGCCCACGTCTGGCTGCCCCTGCTCCCTCAGACCTTCCTAGCTTTGCCATTTGAAAGCTGGGCCCCTATTTGAGTCACTGTTCATTGACCACCTAGACTCTATGCTCCAGATAGACCAGACTGTCTTTCCTAATCTGTTCTTTATGGGTTTATGTGTAAAAGCAGGCCTGATTTTTGTTGCTTTGAGTGTGGCTTAGCGGCCTGGGTTAACTGCGAGCCCCCAGGTTCATGAGGCTCTAAGGGCAGCCTGAGATATAACTGGAGACTCAGAAGCTGAAGGATGCTCAGATATGAAATCTGATTGCCTGGGAGTTAGGGATGTGAGGGAAACAAAGTGATAGCTGATGTCTTCCTCCACCACAAAGCCCATTGTGGCCAAAAGTGAGTGCCTAGCATGAGGCAGTGAGGGGCTGGGAAAGAGCTTCGGGATGGCAGCCCTAAATTCTCCTGTCCTCAGCAGCATGGGAGTGGGTCATTCTCGGGTAGGACCATGAGCTCTTCCCAGACCAGGGTGGCAGAGCACAGGTGGGCTCATCTGGTCTCTGAGTCAGTAGAGGGAAGGCTCCTAACATTTCTTAAGCATTCCTTTGGTCTGGACAGGAAGGAAATTCAGATTCCAGTGTATGTCAAAGCATGATCTGTTTAGGAGGGATTAGGGAGACAGGTTTGAGAGGGCTCAGCAATTCCCTGGTTTTGCATCAGTAAGGAAACGAGTAGCTATTGACCAGTAACTTCCCTTTTGAAAAGTGTAGCAAGTTAGCAATCTGTATTAGCATAGACTTCTTCAAAGTTAGAGCAAGGCCAACACCTGGACAAGTTTAAAGCCAAAAAAAAAAGATCACTGTCGCCAGGCATGGTGGCGCATGCCTGTAGTCCCAGCACTTGGGAGGCAGAGGCAGGAGGATCTCTATGAGTTCAAGGTTAGCCTGGTCTACATAGTGAGTTCCAGGGCAGCTGGGGCTACAGGGGGACCCTGCTTCAAAAAGACACACAGACACAAAATCACTGTCCCCCAGCATTACTGGCATTCATTTTACAGGGAGGATCCTTAAGATAACAGATCTGAGTTGATAGACATTATAGTCTATTAGGAAACTATTAAACTGTTTCTGTCCTTGAATCAAAAACAGCTGAGTTACAGTAGACCACCCTTTTCTAGCAAGGAGTGGATGAGCACCGAGAGACTTCAAGTACTCACTTTAAAAAAAAAATTTTTATTTTAATTTTATGTGTATGCGTGTATTGCCTGCATATAGGTAAGTGCACCTGTGTCATACAATGCCCGAGGAGGTCAGAAGAGGCTGTTGGATCCCCTGGGACTGGAGTTACGGACAGCTGTTAGCTGCATGTGGGTGCTGGGATTTGAACCCAGGTCTTCTGCAAGAACAACCACTGTTCTTAACCGCTGAGCCATCTCTCCAGCCCCACTACTCACTTATTTAACACCACTTAATTCTAGGGAAGATTTTGAGTTAGTAGAGGAAAACATTCAGCTAGGTACAAAAAGGCCAATGGAGGTGAAAGGAAAGGTTCAGACTAGAGGTGCTAAGCAGAACAGGCATTTATGGAAGTGAGGTGCCTAGGCACCCAGGCTCCTATTTCATTGTTGCCACAAGATAGGGGAGAGCCTGCCAGCTGGCCCACTGTGCCTCCATTCCCCAGAAATGGGGCTGCTACCCGCTGCCTGTACACCAACAGCTAACATGCTGATCCATGGAGCTGAGCACAGTATTATACATCTGAGTGAAGGTACCTGTGCCACACATAAAAGACATGATACAGAAGGGGCTGGCCATGTTCCTGCAGGCAGACGGGCCTCTTAGACTGTAAAACTAACCCCCTCCCAGCACACACACACACACAGCTGTGTAGTCTCCTGGAGGTCAGAAAGCACTAGAAAACATTTCTTAGAAAAGTATTTTTTAATAAATTGATGTATTTCAATGTTGTAACATGATAGCTCAATGCTATATCAAGGTAGCAAAAGTGAAGATTCCTGGTATTTTCATAGAAACACTATGACACTTGCATTCAACGTCACAAGAAATTATCTTCAAGTCCATGAAGATTCATTGACAGCTGTCCCACCTGTTGACCATGGAGATGTGTGCGCATGGACTGGCAGACAACAGAAGTCTAACAATCAAGCTACACTCTCAAACCATACTGACAAAGGGGTAACATGGCAGGATGGCCAACTGCCGAGGAAAACTCGACTTTTAAACTTAGCCATTTAAAGAAAACATAGCATGTACCAAAGCCACAGGAATCTTACAGAAATGGAGCCATAAGAAGACACGTGGGTTAGCGCCTGTCCTGTGATGGAAGAAGCCGATGGAAACAGAGTCCGAATATTCTCACACACACGCCATCAATGGACTAAACCAGAATTCCCTGCTCTGTACAGATGCTGGTGATGGGTAACGTATGCTATTGCTGTGAGTCAGAGCAACAGTTGGCTGGAGTTCAGGCCTGGAGGTGCTCTAGGACCACAACCACCTTTTACAGTACCACAGTTACTTCCAAAGCTGGTGCTCCCTGGTGAGGGTTGAAAAACCCACGGAAATGAAAACAGAGGAAACCCAATGACCCACTAGGAGAAACGTATTTCACTTGGTCAAATTACAAAAGCTGGATCTGACTCCATGGATCACAAGTATATTAATGACCAGATTTTTGACCTGGGATTGTTCAGGTGGAGAACAAGACTGTTTCTTCCAAGGGCAAGAGAAGCAAGTTAAATGCGAATTAAGCCCAATTTAATGTGAGCTGTAGAGAAAGACCTCACTTATGTGAGACTTTCTAAAGTAAGACCTTCCTTTCCTTAGCCAGGTACAGTGCAAGGGATCTCATGGCCAGAATTTTATCCGCTATTAGAGAATAAGTTTCAGGCTGCTATTTATTTCCACTAAGACCCTTTACACTATTTTTAAACCCAAATGCTGCAGACAAAAGTACAGTAAAATCATTTGTGTGCTGATCTGTTCCTGGCTATCTATTCAGGAACATCTAACTAAGGGTTATTCCCTTGGGTCAACAGAAGATTTAAAACATTTATATTTCAATTAGAAAACACTGTGATCCACATTATTATATATATAAAAAAATCCCAAGTCAACAGCGTCAAGCATTTACTATGTGAGCACCTATTGGAGAGCATTAGTGTTCTGTCCTAAGTCTTGTTTTCAGACCTGAACCAAGTCAACTCTTCATGAAGATCACACAGTCTGTCCTTCTATCACGTGTCTAAAAACAAATGCTCTGCTCCCCACAGAGCACAGTAATTGTAGCTGCTTTCCTCTTTGGAAACAGAACAAACAGCAGAAAGTGGCTTCATTTTCCTCAGGCCAATGCTTAAAACCTAAGGTTTATTTTCCCTATGAACAGGGTGTGCTTACGTTGATAAAAATCAATCAAAATCAGCTTATGGAAAAGGATGTAGTTTACTCAAAGATAGGTATTTTCACATAGAGAAATAACAAATAATCCAATCTAAAAGTTTATAGAGAAATATATAAATGACTTTCACACTCCCACTGTATCTGGAGCTGCAGTTGCTGCCTTGGCCTGTTTCTCTACTGCATCCACGACTTTATGCAGGGCATTCACTCTTAAGGCAGAACATTGATTGTGACATGTAATGATTTGGTTCTTATATCCAAGGGTCAATTAGGGGGTGGACTCTAGCAGATGGCTTACGGTGAGGACTTATCACATTAGATGAGACATACAGTTGAGAGAACATAAAAAGATGAACTTAAGACACCCAAAAATATGATTTTTCAGTGAGTTCAATGAAAATAGAATTTCTATTAGGAGGTTAAACTATTCTCACTATGAACGAATAAACTTCAGCAACCCATTTCTGATATGGTGTATACAAAGTATGAAATATCAAAGAATTACTTTTGGGGGTGTTTCTTTAGATTCTGGTATTCAGGGTCTAGTATAAAAGGTAGCCTGAATAGTCAAAAAGCAGTCTAAAGGCAATTCATACTGCTACTTGGGAAGCTACCACTTAGGATACTCCTACCCTACTAAAAAATCCTGTGCAGGGAGGAATTTATTATGTATTAAAATAAAAATGAAGCCTGGCTCCCAACAAATGTGCAAAACACTTGTCAGTTACAAGATTATCTTCAATGAAGAACATCTTAATTATAGAACCAGAGGCACCAAGCCAGACAGATACAGTACCACCCTGCTGAGGTGGACTGATATTTGGGATGAAACCAGATGTTCCATGGGCACCTTGGGAACTGTGCTACTCAAGAATGGGAAGGGTATGGAGAGGAACTGACCCAGGGCCCCAAGCCCTCTGGCTGTGTCTGTGTGCTCCTTCATGTCAGGCCAGTTTGATTCCCTGTATCTGGGTGCCAAAAATGTTAATAAAACAAATACAAGCCTAAAAGACAGTTCTTAAGTCGATGATGTGAACTGTAACCTTTGTTAAGTACCTTTTCGTGTGCCTACTATTTATGCTGTTTAACTGGCAATTATCAGGATGTGTACAAAGATGACCTGCCTAATTTTGAAGATGAAGACTTTCTTCTTTTACGGTGGCAGAAGTCCATGCAAGATTTGTAAACAGCGATACAAAATACTGTAAACATAACTTAACAGAGCATGTATAAAACAGAAGTAAATCCAAATTTACAAGTGGGTTAAAAAAAAAAAAAAAGGGCAGCTTCGTACAAAGTTCTCCCTCCTGCGCCAAGTGATTTTCCTCTTCTTCTTTTTTTGATTATAAATATAATCCTGAGCTGAAAATCTGGGATTTGGGGGAGAGCCATCTTTGTGTACAAAATATCCAAAGGACGCTTACTCTGTTTTCTCTAGATATTCAACTGCAGGAGACAGTTCTGAAGGTGTGACTTTGGAGATGCTTATAGTTTAGTGTGGCGCCCAGGTCTGGAGCCAGCTGCAGTGTTTGCCATGGCAGCGGACGCTGCAGCATCCTCTGCTTCTTCCAGTTCATCCTGGAGTTCCTGGCTGACGCTAGACTGCAGAGCAGCGGGGGTCAGCCACTCCTTTGGGAGGCAACTCTGTAGAAAGGGTATACAGGAGCTGAAGTAGGCAAGTCGATTGATCCAGCGAGGAATCTCTTTCCCACAAAGAATCTGAGGAGGAAGAAAGAGTTCTGTGTTAGGTAAGAGAGGTTAAGGCTGACTGACTGTCCTGCTAAGGGGAGGAGGAAAGGTGGTAGAAATACACTGCAGACCAGCTCTGGTGCTGCATTCCAGGCTGCTGATGACAAGCAGTTCCTTAACTTTTCAGCTCCATTCCTTCCTTTCTGAGTAACCCAGTCACCCTGTGTAGTTTTTGACATCTGTAAAGTCAAGCTAATTCTACTTGGCTTCTGTCTTGGATCCTTGAGCTACTCTGAGATATACATAAAGGTATTTTGAACAATGCAGAAAAAGAGACACTTGTCAGTACAAGATGTTATTAGAGTAAAGCCCTCGGCAGTTGGAAGAGCCAGTCTGGGGGTATTTTCCTGTCAATTTTCTTTCCAGATTCTTCAGGTTCTTTTCTACTCTCCTCTAGTTTCTATCATTCTCCTTCTTCCAGGGCTGCTTTCTAGTCCTTTGCTTCTGTCCCTGACCCACTCTCTTCAAGGAAGCCCGGCTGGTTCAGAAGAGATGTCCTCAAAAGAAGACCTAGCTCCATGATACTCCTCTTTGTACTTTCAGTTCAAGCTGGCAGTGACTTTGCTGATGTAATATTCTCAAAATCATTGCAGGTCTCCTGTGTAGGGCACAGGACTGACACCATTACTAAGAGGTTCTTTCAAAACTCTTTTCTGGATAATCCCATCACTCTATTCCCGTTTTCTGCTTAGATCATTGAAAAGATCCATGAATCATGAGGTTAATCTCTTCAGTAGCTGAGAAGGTAATTTTAACTGCACCTCCAGCCTTCTTTCTTCAGCTGCTTTGCTAACACTGAGGCTCCTGATTTTAGCATCTTTTGCAATCTGGATAGGCTAAGAAATTGAGAAATTTCCAAATAAAGAGCTGATCTTTTTTTTTTTTTTTTCCATAACAGTTCTCTCCTCAATCATTCTTTTCACATCTTACTCTAAGCATCATGAAAGCAGGCCACACTTCTATATTTTACCTGGAAATCTCAGCTAAACACAAGCCTATTCCTTGTAAAATCATCTTTCTACATAACTGCAGGACACAATTCGGCTAAGCCTCAGCACTGTGTAACAAAGATCCCCTCCGGCCCCGCTTTCTGATGGCATGCTCCTCATTTTCTTTGGAGTCTCCGCTAGCAGCACCTTTAACCCTCACATTTCTCCTGACAGTCTGTTCAAGGTAATCTAGATTTTTTTTCTATTAAGTTGCTCAAAATTTCTTTAATGTCTTTCTTTCAGTTAATTCCCAAACCACTTACACTCCCCAAAATTTGTTACAGCAGTAGCCTACCTTCAGTTTTCTGTACCAGTTTCCTATGGTTGTCATAACAAACTACAGAGAGAGGCTTCAACTCCACAAACTTATTTTATTACATTCTATAAGCCAAAGAAGGGTAGAAGGAAGCAGAATGAAACCTAGATTTTCATGAATATATTGTTTTCTCCTTTTTTGGATTTGACTTTGGAACTATGAAGGATTTTATGTGCCTATAAACCAAAATTAAAAAGGTCCTATCTTAAAAAGGAGCAAAGGAACCTAACCACGGTACATGAGCTGATGGTATAACCACACAGAAAGAAATGACACTGGTTACATGAACCTGATTCTATTAAGCTCCATTCTAAAGACAACTCGATCCCCGTTACTTATACTGTCAGTGCATTGCTGGTAGCAGTGGTAACACTATTACTCTAAGCATGAGCAGCTTTAGGTACAAAGGGACAACACAAGTCATTACATTGGTGCTTGCTGACAAGTCACTTTTTTTTTTTTTTTCGGTCTTTTTTATTTTGAGACAGGGTCTCCCTGTACCCCAGCTGTCCTGGAACTCACTATGTAGACCAGGCTGGCCTTAAACTCACAGAGCTCCACCTGCCTCTGCCACCTGAGTGCTGGGATTAAAGGCGTGCACCACCACGCCAGGCAATAAGTTACATTTTTGATTCCACACACACACACACACACACACACACACACACACCTACAGATATTAGTGAAATCAAGTAAAAACTCTGAATATGTAACTGAATCACAACCATGAACCCTCTATTGAGGAAAAAGAAATCTAGATATACTATATACTACCAATTTAATAGTAATGAGTAATCCAGATTAAGGTTTCTAAATACTATTAGAAACAAGCAGTTCTAGAGTAAGAAAGAGAAAAGCCTGGAGTATCTTGTCATACCAGAAAACAAATGGGCTATCAGAAATTCAAATGAAAAATCAAGAGTTAGCAGCCAACTTAAAGAAGCTCCCACTGATCAAAGATGGGGTAAGAACAATGACTGAATTAAAAGTACTTTAAAATCTTGAAAGAAAAAACTCAGGATACCAGATTTTTAAATATTAAAACCTCACTGTCCTAGTTTGTTTCTTCATTGCTGTAACAAAATACTCTGACCACTACCAACTTGGGGAGGAAAGGGTTTATCTTACATCTCCCCGGTCACAGTTCATCAGGGAGCCAGAGGTTGGAACTCAGGGCAGGAACCAGGAGGCAGGAGCTGGAGCACAGGCCATGGAGGGATGCTGCTTACTGGCTTGCTCCCCTGGCCCCTGCTCAGCCTGCACCTTCTTATGCAACACAGGCCCACCAGTCCACAGTGGGCTGGGCCCTCCCACACCACTCAACAATCAAGAAGATGCCCACAGGCCAGTCCAATGAAGACAATTCCCCAATGGAGGCTCTGAACCCAGGTGTGTCAAGTTGATACCAAAGCTATCCAGCATACCCACACCAAACAAAAAGCGATTACCTTTGGAATACTGTACCACAGGTTCTTAAAATATCTTTACATTTGACGCCTTGCTGTGAGGACTCACAGAACATGGAGGACATGTGGTTCATTCACACCCATGATAACCACACTGAAAGAAAACAGACTAGGACTAGCCGGGTAAAAGGAACGCGGTATGAAATCTGGAGAAACATCTAGGTTTCTAATCCAGGTGAAAAATTAGCTGAGTGTTTCAGAGGGATTGCCCTAAGACAGTAAGCGACAGTTCTATTTGTCCAGGATAGGGGTTCACAACCTCCTGAGTGCACATGTCACCTTCAGGCACTGTGTGGGAAGTGGGGGGGGGGAGTGGGGGGGACAGCTCCTGCTAGCTCACAGGCAGCACTGTGAGCTGAGTATATAGGCTCAGCAGTCTGGCTGAATTCACAATCTGTGTAGCAGCTTAAAAAGGCCAAAGTGTTAAAGGGGAAAGGCAGTATCGAAAGACAAATCTTTCTTTGACCTTCACTGGGTACCAGGGCTTTTTTACTGTAAAATCAGTATGTCCCATTTGAGCAATCAGAACTTCACATTTTAAAAAAGATTCCCAACTAGCATCAAGACACTTTGCCTGGAAGGGATAAATTAAAAAGAAACAGAACAGTTTTCATAAGAAAATTTTAATTTTTAAAATTTATTTACTTTTATGTTATATGAGAATACTGCCTGCATGTATGTAAGTGCACTCGTGTTGTGCAAGGCCTTTAGAAGCCAGAAGAGGACATGAGATACTCTGGAACTGGAGTTACAGATGGTTGTTAGCTGCCATGTGGGTGCTGGGAATTGAACCTGGATCCTCTGGAAGAACAGCCAGTGCTCTTGAATGCTGGGCAATCTCTCCATCCCCAGGAAAATATTTTTAATAGAATATAGCTAGGAAAATTTGTTAGGAACTGGAGAGAATTACATCCTGAAGTTTTAGAAAATTGTAAAAAGGGTTTATAGAATTATGTGCCCCCTTTCTTCTTGATCATTATCCAACAAGTATCCTGTAAGAGATAATTCTGTTTCTGGACCTAGCTGCATTTAGAAATCAAACTGCCTTCCCTGGGGTGTGTGGAAAGCTGCTGGAGAGCAAGCCTATCAGTCCATTGCAGCAAACTCAGTCTAGAGTGCAGAGAAATCTGGTGAGGAGTGACCACAGGAGTCTGGTGATCTGCTTTCCCCACCACTTGCTCTTACAGGTTTGACAGCATGGCTGCCCTGGGAAGAGTTGGGATGGTGTGTGCACATGCTTCTGCTTCAGGAGCAGCTAGGCTAGGCAAGTTGTGCCACCACTGGTGACACAAACCTGTAATCCCTAAAAAGGCAGGAGGATCATGAGTTTGACATCATCCTGGGTAACAGAGTAAAATCATGTCTGGGAAAAGAAAAGAAAAGAAAACAACAACAAAAAAAAACCAACCAACTAACCAACCCCCCCCTCCCAAATCCCCAGCCTTCTAAAAAACCTTTGGGAACTAGTTAAAATGCAACCCAGGTGAAAGCTCTGTGTTTCTGTTCTCTTCCCTAGACCCGTGTCTAAGGCATCTGTGGGACCTGGTCATGTAGGCATTATGTGCCCAGCAGACACCCAAATTCTAAATTTCTAGAGGAAAAGCAGGTATTAGAAATATTTTTTTTGTACAAACAGATTAGGCTGGTTAGCTACTGTTATCAGTTCTAGGAACACTGAGAATATGAGAAACCAAGTCCCCAGATGCCAGCTTTGGGGTAGCCCTGTAGGCAGGTCTTTCTAAAGATAGTTATCTCAGACCTGGGATGTTAAGTCTTTGTTGCACAGGACCCAGTTCAGTATGTTTGTTCTGGAGGCAGGGTCTCATGTAGCTCAGGCTGGCTTCAAACTTTCTAAGCAGCCAAGGGTAACTTTGAACTCTTGATCCTGACTCCAAGTACTGGGATTATGGTCATGAGCCACCATACTGGCCCATTTCAGTTTTTGGAAACAAGGAGAAAGAATCAAGCATCTACCCTGCCTTTCCTGCTCTATCATCCCTCACCATATTCCCGTGACAAGGTCTCTCCACGAAACTGGAGTTGGTAACCAGCAAGCTCCAGCCCATGTGATTCTCCTGTCTCTGCTCCCCACAGTGCTGCCGTTTCAGGCAAATCTTTTTTGTTTTTTTGGGAGCGTCTCACTCAGTAGGCCAGGATGGCCTAGAAATCACAGCAATCCACTTGTCTCAGCTTCCCAAGTGCTGGGGTTACAGGTGTGACCTGCCATGCCCAGCTATAAAATTTTAAGATAGAAGAATAAATCATCTATCAACAAGAGCCAGAAAAATTTAAATAGGCAAGCAAAATCTACCAAAAGAAAAACCTCAGTAGCTAAGAAGTCTCTTAGCAATTTATTTATTTATTTTTTTGGTCTTTTTGAGACAGGGTCTCCCTGTAGCCCGAGCTGTCCTGGAACTCACTATGTAGACCAGGCTGGCCTTGAACTCACAGATATCCGAATGCCTCTGCCTCCCAAGTGCTGGGACTACAGGCGTGGGCCACCATGCCCGACAGCAATTATTTTTTAAAGTTAAAAGTTTCAGGTCTGTTTGGTTTGGATGGTAAATGTCCTCCAGAGGCTCATGTGCTAAGGGTATGGTTGCTAGCTCAGGGCACTGCTGGAAGATATGGAACTTTTAAGAGGTGGGGCCTTGCAGAAGGAAGTTAAGATTGCGGGGTAAGAGGGATGCCTTTGAGGAGATACTGAACCATCAACCCTCTCCCCAGCATGTTTCCTGGTGCCTCGCAGTAAGCTTCTCTGCTCTACTGCATAGTCCCCACCAAGACATACTGTGGCCAGAGGCCCAAACCAATGGAATCCATTATGATCTGAAGACATGTTAGCTTTTCTTGTGTGCTGTCAGTGCTATAATATAGCATAAGGATGCAATCAAATGAGTAAGAGACAATCCCTTGTATGCACTCTGTACCACAAAGAGACAAACAAACAATCACTTAAAACTTTGCTGACTCAAAGACTGCCAAAGCTAGAAAGATCAGTCATATAATATAAAGAAATATAATACTATATCAACATGAAAAATCAGGACAAAAATCAAGATTGATTCCAGTGGCACAGTAAGTACATTAGGAAAATACTGAATTTACCTCTGATAAAGCTGAAGAAAAGTGATTGCAGTTTTTATGCATCAAATGGTAGGCATTGCCTTTATATTCCTTTCCCAGTTCTTCTACAATTTTTTCTATATCATCTTCTAGAAAGTCCGTACTCCCTAAAACAACAGCTTCTCTTAAAGAATAAAAAGAAACAAAACAAGACTGTGAGTTTCAGGTTATTTATCATAAGCATATTTAAACACTCTGATTTTCAGAAATAAATTAGGGCTAGCATATTAAGATTAAATTTCAATGACTTTAGTTTCTATTTTGCATTTATGAAATAATGGATGTCATTAGAGAACCAGATTCAAGACAAAAGTATTCCTGCCAAATACTCACCAGCAAAGGGCTGGCCATAGTTTCACTTAGAAAAAAATACTTTGATGTTATCTGCTACTGTGCTGCAGTGAGACAAACTATGAAGCTTGACCAAATTTTAAAATGTATTATTCAAAAACATTAAGCAACAGCATTACCTCAATTAGGAAAATGTAACAGACAATACTCAATAAAAAGCAGAATTTTAGGTACAAGCTAGTCATCACGGACAGCTAGAAAGATTAGGAAATAGTTCTATCTGGAACAAATGGAGACCTAAGGGATGGATTCCAGACACAGTATAGCATTGCTATGTACAGACATTTTAAAACAGTGGAAATTAAGAGAGCTACAAACCTGGGGTGTGTAGCTCTATACTGAGCTTCTATGTTATAACCTCATTTCATTATCTTACTCCGGGCAAGTTAACTATTATACCCCTAGAAGTTTCTTTACAACTTCTTGAAATTAAGATTCTAACTATCACTTTAAATATAGCAATTCAGGAATGGAAATTGGATTACTAACACTTAGTTCTCTCACCGTTGTTTATGCACTGGGAGGGCTCCAGAGAACACTACCATCTACACACTGTGGGTTTACCATTACACTAATGTCTACATCTTAACAAGAGTTTCCAGGCTAATCAGTTATCTCAAATGTATAAAGTGTTTCTTTCACTGAGAAAATGAAGAGATTCTTATAGTACCTCACAATAAAAATGCAGCAACCCCCTCCTTTTCCCCCAGAAAGAGAAGACTAAACAGATCACCATTTGAAAAGTAGACAGAGTAACTTATAGGAGTCTTGAGTAATGGTAAGAGATGGACATTTCAGGCACCATATCTGGACAGACTTTTCATATTTATGTAACGAAACTTCCCTCTCTCCCTCCCTGCATTTTTTGAGACAGGGTCTCCCTGTAGCCCCAGCTGGCATGGAACACCCTACAAGACCAGGCTGGCCTTGAACTCATAGAGATCGGCCTGCCTCTGCCTCCTGAATGCTGGGATTAAAGGCGAGTGCTACCACACCTGGCACAACTCAAACCAAAGTTAAAAAAAAAAAGAAAACAACAAAAAAACCCAACACAAACCATTTTAACTTTTAAACCATTTTAACCATTAAAACTTTTTAGATTTTTATTTAAAAAATGAATTCTATATACCTGAAAACCAACCTCTGGTACCTAAGACAGTGTGATGAAAATTAGCCTCCTACTTACTTAAATTTAAACGTTTCTCCTAGTTCAGAAGCATTTCCTGGGGAAATTTCAAATATTCCAGAAAAAGGATAAGGATGGCCACCATAAGCAAATTCTGAAAAGAGAAAACTCAACATTTTTAGTATTTATAGTATAAAATTTAACCAGAATCCTCAATCAGCTTTAATAAGTCACAAATACTACCTGAATATTCTTTATAAAGTGTTTTTATAAGGTCTTGATTTGTTATTACCAGTACAGAATAACTGTTATAAAAGGCCTGAAATTTTGAAGAAATTACCAATACTCCAAAGTAATTTTGGTTGCTCTGGTTTACTATGTTTATACTGACAGGAAGAGGGTGGCTGGCACTCAAAAGTGATCAGTGTCTCTGTAGAGCTCTCACACCAAGAGGCAAGGAGCATAGGACTTGGCCACTTTTCAAATCTGCACTTTATTTGAGAAACTGTCTCATGACAGTTTCCATGGTTCCTGGGATAAATTCTCATCTTGTCTCCTCTGCTGTCTCTTCTCTCCTCTCCCCTCCCCTTTCACATCTCTATGCCCCCACTCCCCCAACACCCACTTGTCTTGGCCACTGGGTTACATCAATCTCCAGCCTGGAAGATTCTTGATTTATAGTGGATTAAGAATGAAACATTACTGCACTAGGCATGGAGGCATGGTGGTATATGTCTGTAACCTCAGCACTAGGGAGGCAGAAGAATCATGTGTGTAAGGCCAGACTGGGATACTACTAGTGAGCTCTGGGCAGGCCTGAGCTATAAATCGAGATCCTATTTGAAACAAAACAGAAATCTCAAATCTGAAACACTTAATAAATATAAAGAGTTCCAAATAAATGCTTGAATTAATCTATTTTATCACTTAAGATTAATTAAATAGCCAGGTATGGTGGCAGAGGCAGGACTGCTATGAACTTGAGGCCAGCTTGGTATACATAATAAGTTCCATGCCAGCCAGGGCTACAAAGCAAAGATTCTCTCTCAAAACACCTAAATAGATTTGTTAAATTTATAATCTTAAAAGTCTTGGGGCTGGTGCAATGGCTTAGCAGTTAAAAAGCACTGACTGTTCTTGCAGAGGACCTGGGTTGGAGTTCCAGCATTCACATGGCAGCTAACATAACTCTTAACTCCAATTCCAGGGGAATCTGACACTCTTCTGACCTCCTCAGGCATGATACTGGTGTACTTACACACATGCAAATGATACACTTATACACATAAAATGAAAATTTAAAAAAGTCTTAAGACAAAGCATAAGAAAGAACAAGAAAGACTGTCTGTATGGGTAATTCCATGTATATGCAGGTGTCTATAGAAGCACTAAGAGGGCCTCTCACACCCTGGAGCTAGAATAAGAAACAGGCAGGTATAAGCTGCCAAACATGGATGTTGGGAATGGAACTCAGGTCCTCTGAAAAAGCAGGAAGTGCTCTTTTTAAAAAAAATATTTTATTTATTATTTTTCTTTTATGTGTACGTATTGCCTGCATGTAGGTAAGTGCACCTGTGTCATGCAATGAATGCCCTCAGAGGACAGAAGAGGCTGTTGGATCCCCTGGAACTGGAGTTACAGACAGATGTGAGCTGCCATGTGAGTGCTGGGATTCGAACCAGTCTTCTGCAAGAACAGTCAATGTTCTTAACTGCTGAGCCATCTCTCCAGCCCCAGCAGGAAGTGCTCTTAACCACTGAACTATCTCTCAGCCCAAGGTTTTGATTCGGATTTTTCAGAAACAACATCATGATATGGATGAGCATGCTTAGTATTCAATTGTGAAATACAAACTTTCAGCTCCTAGTGCTGGGACACACATGCTTAGCTCCTCTTTAAGATTTACAAGGTAAACAACTTAAATTTTTCTATTAAATTTTATAAAAAAAATTGTATACATAGCTGGGTGTGGTGGTGCACACCTGTAGTTCCAGCACTTGAGAGGCAGAGGCAGGCGGATGTGAGTTCAAGGCCAGCCTGGTCTACATAGTGAGTTCTAGGACAGCTGGGGCTACAGGGAGACCCTGCTTCAAAAAGACAAAACAAAACAAAACAAAAAAATATACAATCAGATTGGACTTGGAAAAAAATCATAAAAAGTCATTTGGATTTTTAACTTTCTCAAGTATAATAGGGAAAGATACAGGTTCATTTATTCTTTTATACAAAAATACCATTCACTTTCAAGTATATGTTCAATTCGAATTCTGCTGAGTTTACTTTTGCAAACATGTTTTGAATCAAGTTTTTATTTATTTCTAAATTATTTTATGAAGGGGTAAGTAAGAGCTATGCAGGTAAGTTTGCTAGACTAACCTATAGGAACACTTGGGGAAAATCCTGGTTCTTTCTGTTAGTTACTAGCAGTATGAATGCTGGCAACTTTGAGTCTTAAGTTTCTTCATATAAGAAACACCACATTCCTCTTCTTTTCCTTCCTTCCTTTTTTTTTTTTGTAGCCCCAGCTGGCCTGGAATTCGTTTTGTAGGCCTTGAACTCAGAGCTCTACCTGCTTGTGCCCCAAGACTGGGATTAAAGGTGTGTGCCACCACGCCCAGCAATAGTCTCATTTCTTTAAATTAGTAAATGTTGGTAGTCTTTTAGGCGTAACCCTGAGTAAATTAGATAATACATTCTAAGAGATTAGAAAGAGTACCTAGCTCATGCAAATAGGCACTTGCTTCTGTTAGATGGTAAATTTGTGACTCTGATATATTACTACAACTCTGATGAAATGGGCAATATGAAGACTGTTACCAGTTACAATCTGATCAAGAGTTGTACTAAAAATAGGAAATAGAACAAAAGAAAAAGTTGTTGAAGCACAGCTGGCCCAAGTGGCTCCCCTCACATCCACTGTAATAAAGGAATGTAATAGGAATAAAAAGGGCCACCTTAATTACAAAGCTCATTAAAAAAAATTACGTGCAGAAGTCTCTTAGGAACTCCTATACATGTTAAAGCAAAATAGTCATGATATACCATCTCAGAAAGAAAACATTTTTAAAGACAAAGTATTTAGAACAAGAGATAATGAAATGAATGTTCCCTCTTATATTCTACCAGAGGCATTTCCCCAAACACACTTTAAATAAATACAGTCTTATTTTACTTTCTGGACTAACATATATATGTAAGTGGCTTTTAAAAAGGAACAGGGCTGGAGTGATGGCTCAGCAGTTAAGAACGCTAGCTGCTCCAGAGGACCTTCTCAGTTCCCAGCACTGAGAAGTGATGGCTAACAGCTGTCCATAACTCCAGTTCTAGGGAATCTGATGCCCTCTTCTGACTTCCATGGGCACTTCATGCACATAGTACACTTACATGCATGAAGGCAAAACACTAATACACATTAAAAACAAAACAACAACAAAGGAACAAAGAAAAACAACCTGTATTTCTGTATTTACTTTAAATGACATAATCTTCAGAAAGTGTAACTGTGTGTACACATACCTCTGCCATATACTTCAATTCCAGAATGAAAAACTCCAATTCCAATGGATGAGGTGTATTCATTCATCCAGTACTAAGGAAAGAAAAAAAAAAAAATCAGTTCATTCACTCCATTCATTTACAATCAAACTCTAAACTGGTGTCTAAATCCAATTCTTGCTGTTTTCCCTTACAACTCTGAAATTCCAGGGACACTAGCCCATTCCAAGCTAGTCATGTCTTTGCTGTGCCACATTCTCATCGGGAATGCTTTCCTGAATCTAGACAAATGTCTCAACTTGAATTCAGTACATTATTTAAGGCTTAGGGCATAAGCAATAAAATCTAAACTTGACCAGGTTAGTTTAAAATAAAAAAAGACATGGAAACTCTTAGTAATTAAAATAACAGACACATACTGTTTGGTTTCCCATCTATTTTTCTCCTATCTTAGACTTTTTATTATTATATTTTATTTTTTTATTAGAAGAAGCATTTCATTACAACAGCATTAACCTGTTCAATAACAATTTTTCTGAGCTAGGGTACATCTCTTTCAAAATTGGCTGTACATTTTTAGGTTTACAGATGAATTATTACGCTTATATAATCCTTAACTCATTATAAACTCTATAAGACATAAAATTAAATGAGGTTCCAACGTTTAAAAAAGATCTCCACTT